TGGAGGTGTAGCCGCTCTACCCGAAATAAGACTGTTGGGCTGCTTCAATGTCTGCACTACCTCGGCCACCTGCTGCTTGAGCCCGGATCTAGTCTCCATGGCGTGCACACCACGGTCCCGGGAATGTCTTCCTCTGCTGCTCTGCCCCCACGAATGATCTATGGCAGCCAGAGTACTGATCATCTAGTTTAGTTCGGGTGGAGTCTTAGTAAGAATATCCCCTCCTGGGCATAGAGACTCAATCACCCTCTGCTGTCCGGAGAGAGAGCACTGTAGAAGTTCCCCACTGTGAATGCATCACTGAATCCATGATGGGGACACTGCAAAAAATATCTCATGTACCTCTCCCATGCATCACGAAGTGACTCGTCTGGCTCTTGGCGGAAGTGAGTGATCTCCCGCTGGATCTCTGTGGACTTCGATGCTGGGTAGTACCGATGCACGAACTTGTCAGCCAGATCATCCCCAGAAGTGATGGACAATGGGGGCTGGGTCTCCAACCACCTCATGGCATTCCCTGCCAGAGAATGGTGGAAGAGGTGAAGGCGGATTGCATCATCAGGGACACCGTTCAGCTTGAACTCGTTCGTCAGCTGCAAAAAACGGGAAAGATGTACCCTTGCCTCCTCATCCTTCAGGCCATGGAACTGGATTGAGGATGTAATGAGTTGAATCCAGCATGGCTTGATCTCGAAGTTTTTCGCTGGAATAGGTGGGTAGAGGATGACCGGGCGGATGTCAGCAATTCGTAGAGTGTAGTAGTACTCCAAGGTGGGACCCCCGCGGCGGTGGATGATGATGAACCCCATCTGCCTGGGGTATGGGGTTGTTCCCCAAGACCTGATTTACCGGGGGAGCCTGGTGAGGATTCCCCTGGTGTGGATTGTAATCTCCTTCCATCTCGGACTCGTTCTCGGACTCGCTGCTCAAATGGCTGTCTATGTGCTCCTCTGTAGCCAGTCTAGCTCACTGTTGTCTCCTGAGTTGGCGACAGGTGCGTTCATTCTCTGGATTCAACGGCAGTAAACCTCCCGACTGGCTACGGGTCATGCACTACCTGCACACACTCAAGCAAGCAAACCTGTGAAGGCACAAGTGGGACAAAGCAAACAATGCGAAAAGAAAAGCTAAATTAACATAAATCACTTTTCTTCAACAACCTAGCCGTCCCCGGCAACGGCGCCAAAAACTTGACTCACTCCTACTGTCACTCTAGAAGTTGGCCAAGTGTAACAATTCCTAAAGATTAGTATAGCGGGTTTGGATTTTAATGTCAACCCGGGTCCTAGATTTGATGACTACTCGGTGAATTCTTGTTATCTAGCAATGAAACTTTAGTGCAAGTCCAAATTAACAAACAAACAAAAACAGTTGTTTTCAAGTCGAGAGAGGTCACCCGGATATCGTTCCCCCTAGACTGCAGTTAAGCTGGATTGCAATTTACCAAGTTCAGTTTCTATGATAGTTATACTGCGGAAGGTTCTTAAAACGTCTGAAGTCTCGACTAAAGGTCTCCAGACCCTTTCAATCTGAGTCTCTAGCGGGCGACTAACCTCCACCGGAGTAAACAGATTGAGGCCCTAACGAACAAAACCTCCACTACCGAAGTAAATTCGGTACAGAATAGTGAATTTGCTCCTCGACTAAAGTCGCCAATTCACTACCTTCAATTAAGGGTGCTCTATCAACCTAGGCAGATATTCTCTTTCTAGGTTAAAGCAGAAACAACAGGAATTTGATCAGGATTCATGCCATTCAATCATTCAAACCTCAATCGAATATAATCAAAACATAGAATCTGTACTTGGGTTCATACAATCAAACCTAACATACAAATCTAGGGTTTCCCATACCCAGATGAATGGGAGAACTACTCCATGGAGAAAGAAGCAAAAGCAGATTCAGATGCGGAAACCATACTGTGAAGGACGGATTTCTGCTCCTGGGCGTCGATCGGCACTACTCCAGGCTCAAGCCAAGCTCCAATGGTGATGAAGATCAAGCTAGGGAACTTGGGAACTCTTGTTCGACGCTTTCTCTCTCTAGGAATCGCTATGTCTCTCTAAAACTCGAATCCCCCCACATGTGGCTGGAAATTGGCTTAAAACCAGAAAATCCCGACTCACACGGGCAGGCCACACGGCCGTGTGGCATACCCAGTTGCCCGTGTGAGACACAAAACGCCGCGTTCCGATTATGTGGGTTTCAGGCTTCCTACATGGCCAGTGGCACACGGCCGTGTGGAGCCTCCAGTCTGCCCGTGTGAAGCCTCGCAGAATTCCACATGGCCACTTTGGTTCATGACACGGCCGTGTGGGATTTATTCCTGCCCGTGTGAAGGCTCGCACAATCCCACACGACCACATTGATTACTTGCACGGCCTTGTGGGTTTTGTGTGTGCCCGTGTGACTTCCTCAGTGACTTGCCACGCGTCCGATCTTCATGCAATCAACCCCGAACTCACTCCCAAACCTTCATTCACGTACTAGGACCTGAAATATCACAAACAAGCACAACCTAGCGTGAAATCGGCCTAAAACACGAGAATCAACACCTCAAACAGCTCCAGAATAGGGGTAAAAACATGTGCAATTAACGGTTTATCAGTTATGCATGAGCTCGACGTGAACAATGCGTTTTTGCATGGGGATTTAGAAGAAGAGGTCTACATGAAGTTGCCACCGGGATTCGGGGCACCGGGTGACACCAGGGTATGCCGGCTCACGAAGTCGCCATACGGGCTGCGACAGGCATCGCGAAATTGGTACCAAAAGTTTACTGAGGCGCTCACGGAGCTCAGTTTCAAGCCTTCCAAGGCTGATCATTCCCTCCTTCTTTACCGCCGTGGAGATGTTTTTATGTTGATGATGTGATCTTGCAGGAACAGATGAAGCTTTTATTGCAACTGTCAAAGCCTTCCTCGACAAGAAGTTTAGCATAAAGGACTTGGGGGTATTGAAATATTTCCTGGGAATAGAAGTTGCAAGATCGGCAGACGGGGCTGTGCTAAGTCAAAGAAAGTACACTCTGGATATTTTGAAGGATGCAGGAGTCACATGAGCGCGACCAAGCAACTTTCCCATGGAACAAAACCATACACTTACCAGAACGACGGAGGAGATCGCAGACGATGTTAGCAGCTATAGACGACTTGTGGGACGTCTCCTGTACTTGACGGTAACGCGCCCCGACATCTCATATGAAGTCAATATACTATCACAGTTTGTCAATCGTCCCAGCCCAGAACATGTAGCAGCGGCTATGAGGGTCCTGCGCTACCTGAAGAAGTCGTCGGGACAAGGTTTATTTTTCCCATCTGCAGGACAGCTCGAGCTCACTGCCTACTGCGATGCAGATTGGGGGGGCTGCCAGGCAACCCGAAGGTCCACCACGGGCTACTACGTACAGCTAGGAGGCGCACTGATATCGTGGCGGACGAAGAAGCAGAAGGTGGTCTCTCGATCATCCGCAGAAGCAGAGTACAGGGCAATGGCAAGCACGGTTAGTGAAGTCTTATGGCTTAGATTCCTCCTTGCAGAGCTTGGAGTGCCTCAAGCACGACCCACAACTCTCTACTGCGACAACCAGGCAGCACTGCACATTGCAGCAAATCCGGTCTTCCACAAGCGGACCAAACATGTGGAGATGGATTGTTATTTTGTTAGAGAGCGCGTGATGTCAAAGGAAGTTGCGCCCAGAAAGATCTTGACAGCATCCCAACCGGCAGACATATTCATTAAGGCTTTGGGGACGGAGCAATTCCAGTTCTTGTTATCCAAGCTGGGCATTCGAGACCTTCACGCCTCAGCTTGAGGGGGAGTGTTGAACTGGACCATATTGTACATATTAGTTTGTTGGAGGACCTTGTTGTTATTTCCCTTGTGAACCCTAATACCTACGTAGATGGTATATAAGGCTGTAGCATTATGTCAGCCGACGTAACTTCGTGACAAAAGAAGAGAGAGCAGTCTTCGAGCTGCGCACTAATAAGAAGTCATCTGAGAGCTTTTGCTCTCCGTGGAATAGTCTCGTTCACATCGAACGGGGAAACCACGTTAAATCGTTGTGTCATTTGCTTCCGCGTTTAAGTTATTTTACATAATAAATTTTAACTAGTTCAAATTATGTTATTTCATAGTATCGAAACAATTTTGAACATAATTTCTTTATAGAATTAAAAATAAGGCATATTTTTTTACATCTTCAACATGTTAAACTTCACATGATGTGAGATATATAATTTAACAATCCTATGAATTATGAAAGTCCAAATTAGATCGATTCGTCCATAATTCAGTGATCAAGTTGGCCATCAAACCACAATGTTGAGAATCAAATGAGCTCCAAATGAGCCAACTCACGAGTTGAGCTCAACAAGCCACCGAGTCGAGCTAGCTCGCGAGCTTTGCGAGCTTAACAAAGCTAAGCTCAAGCTTGGCTCGTTAGTAAACGAGTCGAGTTTCGAACGAGTTTTTCCTGATTCGAACCTCGATTTGTTCGCGAGTAGCTCGGCTCATTTGCAGCCCTAGTCCCAATTAATCCAAATGGAAATCCTCAAGATTCATAAATAGGTCCACTTTGAGATGCGTCATCTCGTTATTTTAGATGGCTTCTAAACTAAAAATTAAAAAGCAGATAATGATGTTCATAAAACTGGGCACATCATCTGATCCGCCGAGGATCTCTCCTGTCCAGTCCACGATTCCTTCGCTGCATTTGTTGTCTCCAGTTTGGGGAAGTCTCTGAAAAATCGACTCTGAGATGGGGAGACTCTCTACGGCCTCTTCTTGCTCAGCTTCTCCCCTACCCTCGCTGAAATCGTCGGCCTCGCGGGCTATGATTTTGTGCTCGTTGACATGGAGCACGACCCCGACGGAATCATAGAGGCTCTCCACTGCATGCGAGCTCTAGCAGCCACTCGGACTCCGGCGATTCTGAAATTGTCGGAGATCTCTCCTGTCTGGGCGAAGAAGGCCCTGGATCTGTTCCCCCGGGGATTATGTTCCCGATGATCGATTCCCCCAAACTGGCAAAGAAAGCAGTCTCATACAGCCGCTTCCCGCCGGCGGGGATCCGGGGATCGGCCCACACGGTGGTGAGAGCTTCGGATTACGGGATTGATGAAGGGTATTTGAGTCATTACGAGGAGGAGTTGCTGATTATGTGCCAGATTGAGAACGAGGAGGCGACTTCGTCTTGTCTTCTTCCCCTTTCGCTCCATCTGTTTTCTCTGCAATGGGCATCCCCTGTTCGATTCGATGAGCGATGAGATCCCAACTTGCTGAAAGATGAGATCCCTTGTTTCGCTGTTTATCTCTCAAGCTCTTCTGGTCACCTTCCAGCTTGTTCTTCGCCATTGGGCTTAACCTTCCAGCTTTTGAGAACTAATCGAGCATTAGTTGTTATGGTCGAGGTGATTTCCCTCTGGTTACGGCGCTTGTCGCTGGTTTGCCGCTGCTGTCGCGGCGAGAGTTGAGCGGTGAGAAAGCAAAGAACCAGATCTATGGTTCTAATGCAAAGGCCTCTCGCTTGTTAATACCCACCATTCCATCCGGCTCTTTCCTCATAAGTAATTTTCACGCAGCAAAACTCCGGCCGATGAAAACTCTAGACCTCCGTTCCACTCTCTAGCTCAGATTAAAACAAAGAATACCCAGTTGCAAATTCATATTGTTCGATTAATTGGATCTCGTCACCGGAAATCTCATCATAGTTCAACTGTGAATTCCCTTGCATCACAATTGTTGTGGTTCCAGAGCTTGTCAACTTACTCAGCTTGTCGTATGGGAAAGCAACAAGATGTTGGTTTGGGTCGATTGACACTGCCGAAGTCGATGTTGGTTCTTCCACCCCATCGCCATTATTGTTGGAAGCTTGGATCTTTTGGAGATTGTGTATTAAGTTCTGGTGGAAATCCATCGACGGTACGGTGCTGGATTGCTCGCTAAAATCTGGGGTGTGCACCGGCGATCTGTTTCCTCCGACCAGGCGTGCATTGAAGGCTCCTCCGGTAGGCAACAAAGCTAATTAATTACCTTTTTAATTTTTTTTTAATACTAAAGGAGGCCGAGGCCAAGAAGCAGAGAGGTTACAGGGGAGGACTAGCTAGAAGAGGAGTGAGTCGCCACAACCCGACGCTCGAAGGTGACACCATCATGTCGTCTTGCAACAGCGGGACAACTCCCATCGGAGGATCAACTAACTCATACATCCCGTAGGGATAGACGAGACTGTGCTTCGAGAGCCAGTCCGCGACTCTATTCCCTTCGCGACAGGTATGAGTCAATCTAACCAACCAATCTTGCCCAATTTTCCTGCGGATATGGTTCAAAATGGTCTCATAGGGATGGATGGGGTCATGACGCTCCTGAATCAGTTGGATCGTGAGCTGAGAGTCCGAAGCTAACTTCACCACCCGATGCCTGAGTTTCCACGTGAGCTCCAGCCCATAATAAATTGCCCACAGCTCAGCCAAAACGGTAATTGCCGAGCCAATCCCTGCCACGAATCCGCCCAACCAGTTACCCAACGGTCCTCTGATCACCCCACCAGCACCGGCTGGTCCCGGATTACCATTAGAAGCCCCATCCGTGTTCACCTGGATCTAACCCTCCGCAAGGGGCTCCCAGCCGATATCTGCCATAACCCTCTCTGTACCTTTCTTCTTGTGATTGGCGAAGGGGTCAGGGGCGTGCCAGGAGTCGTTCCAAAGCTTGCTCTTAACCAAAATTGAGTGCAAAAGCGAAGGAGCGGTCAGGGCTCCTTTCGGGGCAAGACCATTAAGTCTATTTAAAAGACTTTGAAGCATCTTTATTCAATGTATTTGGGCCTCTTATTGACCCAATAAAAATGTCTAACTAAATGATATACCTTTTAATGCATACTTAATTCTCTCTTTAATTTGAAGGTACTAGATTATTTGATTTCCCACTAACAACCGTTATACTAATGATTTAGACTTTGACTCTAGCCAATAGCCACTCGACTTACAAAGCGGCGTATCCTTTTAATGACACTCAATGGTCTTTTATGGCCGAAATTACCTCCCATTTTTGGGAAGGAAGGAGGTTTAAAAGTTAAAACTTTCATAATTGCTTTTTCTTAAGTAACTTCGACTCATTTGAGATTAGTTCATCAATAAGTAGAAACATTCATTTTGTTTAAAATTAATATCCAAGTCCCGTCTAAGCTCAAATTCTTCATATGGCAATGACTCTGAGTCATACTTCCCGTAGTAGGCCCTTCAAACTCGTGGAGTAAACTGCCTTAACCGATGCCCTGTCTGCTGGATTCATTGAGAAAGCATTGAACATTTATTCTTTAGATGCCCCTAGCCATCAGATTGTGGACTTTAGTGGGATTGAACAACTTTATTGAGACCGTCCAGACTGTTAACTTTAGTCTATGGTGACGACATGTCATGGTCTCTAAGACCTCCCTATTCCACATTATCCAATGCGTATTTTACTTTGTAGAATCTGGAAGTCTAGAAATAAAGTGACCTTCGAATTTTACCAACCTCATGCCCGTTCCCTAGACAGACAGTTCTACAACTAGGTCCTCGAAGTCTCCAATCTTCTCCTTTCTCCTCCAACCCGTAGCTCTCTACTCCCAAACATCCTGCCACCACTTGGTCCCTCCGCCAGAGGACTTTTAGAAGATCAACTTCGACGCTGCTGTTTGTGCCACCGGGTGTTCGTCTGGCTTGTTATCCGTGGGTGAGACGGGCATGTGGTGTTGGCGTTCGGGCTGCAGCATCAAGGGATAGTCAATCCTTACCTGGCAGAGCTTCTAGCCTTTAGACACACTATCTCCATCGTAGCCTCAAGATCCTTGACCCGCATGATAGTCAAAGGTGATTCCAAAGTGGTCGTCAACCAAGTCCATCAAGGCGTCATAGAAGACTCAATTGGTGGTCCAGTGTTACGAGTGTGTCATCAGATCCTTAGCTCTTTGTCTATTTGTATAGAGTTTAGGGAGGTACCTAAGTCCGCCAACAGTGTTGCCCATAGAGTGGCGCGTAAAGCACTGCTTTTGTCTCGTTTTGAGCTAGAATCTTTTGTTTTTTGTGGGAGGCTTCTTTAGAGTCTTTTAGGGGTCCTAGATAGAATTGTAAGTTTAACTATTATCGTTCTTTGATATCACTCAGAAATAAATAAAAAACTGGGCACATCATGATCTAACAGGCTAACAGCATTAAAATATGATCATCCTTCCAAACATGGCATGGGACAAAGAAAGCATGTAGGGACTAGGGTGTGAATGTGGCCTTCCAACTGAAGACAAAAGGCGGCCCATTCAATACCTTTCACATTACTTTACCAGTTTGGTTTGATTGATCATTAGTACCAATATGTACTACACTCTCTCATAATTATGCCAAAATTATTCTCCAACTCCTTTATTGCTTATTTGCTTGTTTGCTATTATAATTGTTTTGGATAAATATTAACGAGTTAATGTCACGTTTAGTCACTGAGTTTTCAAAAATGTGTCATGTTTAGTCACTAGGAAAAATTAATATCAATAATGGTCACTAAGTTTAGTAAAACACGTCATTTTTGGTCACTCTTTATTAGTCTCCGTCCATCTCCGTCAATGAAGATCATTATGTGCTGACATGGCAGACGAAATCGCTTAGTCACCTATTTTTAATCTAATTTTTTTACCCTACAGCTCATAAAAACCTGCCGAAACCTAACCACCCCCATCCATTAACTGTGACCCAACCCACTGAAATTAAAACCAAGTTTAATCACTCCGCTAAATCCCTTGCCGGTCAATGAAGAAGAGATCGGAAGAAGCTCTGGTTGCCGCCCTCTCACTGTTTCGTACGACCCGGTGTTGCCTTCCAATCAGAGAAGAGACGATGAACTCTACTTGTCGGCCTTGTTAGTGAATTGGGCGATGAATCGCAAATCTGGAAAAGTTATTGGGCGATGGCGATGGATTGAGTGAAGAAGAAGACAACCAGTGAACCACACCAACCCTGATGATAGCTCAAATTGTTGTCGTTCCGTTCCTCCCTTCCACATTGGCATAACCAGGAATTTTGCTGAGGTGGGTCCAATGTAGAAAAGATGATGTCATAACTCGTATAATGCTTTACAAAAATCAACGACGAATTTTTGTATTATGAAAACTATCCAAAATATATTCATCATCCAAACTAGCAAGGATGTAGTTTTCAATATAACCAACCTAAAACCATTCATGCTTTCATCGCCCTTCCAATTACGAAGTGTATTCTTCACCTAGTTCATTGCAAAAAATGTAAATTTTGGCACTTGCAATAGGTACAAGTAGCAACAATGTCAATTTCATAAGCTGATAAACCAATGGAAACACTAAAAAAAATTTACAAAACCATTTTTAATCATACAAACCTCTAAATTGTCTTCATTTCCCAAATAGTAAGTTCAATTTTGGTTTTGCTTAATTCGTTACTCTAGTCCAACATTAATTAATAAGTTGCTTAAAATTTTATGTCCATTGTGATGTTTGTGTGACCCTGGTCATTGGTTTTTCTGAGTACCAACTAGCAACATTAATTGTCTTCATTTCCCAACTAGCAACTTTAATCTTCTTTCTAAAACGAACAACTGCAAGTTTCATTACTTTGCAGTACCGATATCACCTCCACAAAACTTTCCAAAAACTTTGTCAGTTCACACGCTCCAAGCTCATCATGAAGCTTTCCAAAAAGAAACTCCAGATTCACTATCATGATACTAGCCATTTGTTTATTTTTGCCATGGTTATTCAGCTTCACCATTCCTTCTTTGGCTAGAACACTTAAGAAGTGTAACTTCACAGTAATGTGTGTGCTTCTTTTATGAGAACCGACATTCTTGAACACTTTCGAGCTATAGTCACATAGTATCCTTGTTCCAACTTTGACTCTCTTATGCCTTCTTATTGTTTCATGGATCCTTCTAAGCCAAGCGCAATATGCATAATGATTAGTAGTATAACCCCAACACATTTCCTGAGCCTCCCACCTGTGAATGATTCCACAATCAATGATGCACTTCAAGTACCAAGTATCCATCCTTCCTGAACCTATCATTTGAAACAAATGACTAACAACTGCAAAACTTCCAAAGTTAGCTACAAAACCAACTTTAAAGTGATCAAACCACTCGCCATTACAAACTTGATCAAACCACTGGTAGTTAGCAGCTTTTTCACTCTTGAGACATGCAACAATCCAGCTGCCAAGGTTATTAAACATGTTGCAAAATCAGCAGCAACAAGTGCAATAAACATCTCTCTGAATTTAGTAGCATTCACTTGGATCATATCTTCAAACTTGCTGTAAGAACACTCAATCAACTCCTCTGCATGCTTCTTTTCCTCCCCTGAAACCACAAACCCTTGTGGTTGCAATTTCATTTCTTTTGCACAACTTTGATGACTATCAACATCTATAAACATACCATTAGCATGTATATCAAGGTAAGCAGGTTTTCTTTTAATTATGGAACCCAAATCCTAAACAAATTCAGTCTCTTCTTTCCACTGCATGTGACTTGTTGATATCACAAGACTTTGTGTGCAGTTGTCTACTACTGACATGGTAGTAGGTTCAGATGTAGTAGCAGTACCAGCATAGTCTCCTACCATTATCATTGCTGCTATTTGTGGGATTTCTGCTTGTGAGTTGTTTCTGGAATTGGTTTCAAAAAACTTTACCAAATCTTTTATCTGCATTTCCATTTGTTGATCGTGCCCCAACTGACTAGATTTTGACAACCAAAGATCCATATGCCCCACCTTAACCTCAATAGCAAGATTTTGTACTTGAGTTCCTTCCATGACCCCTATCCCTTTAGCTCCTAAAGGAGGGTGAATGAGCTGCCACTTAGTAACTTTCCCACCAAATTGCAGCACAAAAATCTCAGTCTTCCCCCCTTTATCATCCTTCGTAACTTTCCCAAAACACTGATCCTCCAATTCAAAAACAGTACTCAAAGTGTGCATATCACACCATCTCCAAGTATTTGCCAAAAGATCTAAGATCACAAGTGAAGGTGGTTCAATTGATATAGTAACTTCTGGACTTTGTACCATAACTGCTACTTTAGCTTCTCCACTTGACTCACTTACTTCATCTTCACAATCTTCCCACACCATTTCAGTCACTATAGGGATGACTTACGGATCCCAGTAAGAATTTTGCATCCCATTAACTACCTCGTTACTGTTAATTAATACATTCTTGGTACTAGGAATGCTTACCTCAAATGCTTTAAATTCTGCTGAAGCAATTGGTTGCAACCCTTGTACCCTACCTTCCTGTTGCATCTTGACCAGCTCTTGAGAAGCCATTAATGTAGTCGGTTCCTCCTTCTCTTCCATTGATTCCACGCCAGCCATTAGCAGCATGCCTTCTATCATGTCGCCATGATTAGTAGTGGAGTAATGAGAATGTAGATTCCAATTTGGGCACTCATTCCTTAAGTGTCCCAATTTTCGGCATTTGTAGCATTTCACAGCGTCCCTAGCCCATCGACCATTCCTGCCCCTTCCTATTCTTAGAGCACTGTTGCTAACTTTGTCGATGCATCCATTATAACCGACTTTCAGCGCCTGTCCATTCTCAGCAAGTCTTTTGCGGAACTTCTGCTCATGTACTTGAAGAGAACTTTGAAGACTATTGACTCACTCCTACTGTCACTCTAGAAAATGGCCAAGTGTAACCACTTCCTAAAGCGTAGTATAGCGGGTTTGGGTTTTAATGTCAACCCGAGTCCTAGATGTGATGACTACTCAGTGAATTCTTATTATCTAGTGGTAAAACTTTAGTGCAGGTTCAAACAAGCAAAGCAATTAAAAGGTTGTTTTCAAGTCGAGAGAGGTCACCCGGATCTGGTTCCCCCTAGACTGCAGTTAAGCCAGATTGCAATTTACCAAGTTCAATTTCTATGATAGTTATACTGCGGAAGGTTCTTAAATAGTCTGAAGTCTCGACTAAAGGTCTCCAGACCCTCTCAATCTGAGTCTCCAGCGGGCGACTAACCTCCACCGGAGTAAACAGATTGAGGCCCTAACGAACAAAACCTCCACTACCGAAGTAACTTCGGTACAGAATAGTGAATTGGTTCCTCGACTAAAGTCACCAATTCACTACCTTCAATTAATGGTGCTCTATCAACCTAGGCAGATATTCTCTTTCTAGGTTAAAGCAGAAACAACAGGAATTTGATCAGGATTCAAGTCATTCAATCATTCAAGCCTCAATTGAATATAATCAAATCATAAAATCTGTACTTGGGTTCATACAATCAGACCTAACATACAAATTTAGGGTTCTCCATACCCAGATGAATGGGAAAACTACTCCATGGAGTGAGAAGCAAAAAAGATTCGGATGCGGAAATCATACTGTGAAGGATGCGGAAACCAAAAATACACGACTACTAGCCGCAAACGGATAAGAACTAAGGGTACAAACATGTGCAAATACATCATTATCAAATTCCCCCACACTTAACCGTTTGCTTGTCCCCAAGCAAACCTAACTCAAACCAATGCAACTCTCCAGACCTCTATAGCAACAAACAACCCCGATCGTCGGTAGAGGATTTTCTAGATCATAACGCAGCTTACAAGGTCAAGTGGTCTTCTAAGTCATCCCCTATCTCTCTCAATGCGAGTACTAGACTCAAGCCAGGATCATGAGAAGAAGTAGAAGTAAGACAATCAATTCATGGATAAAGGGACTCTCACCATTCACAATCATGGACTCGCGATACCGGGGTGCTCTTTCACTTCATTTCACCGTTGGAACCCCTTTTTCACTTCCATATTACTTTTTTTTCATTCACTTAGCGGGGGTTCCAACTGCAGTCTTTCGCACGGTCGACCCTTATTAGTCGAGCAAGAGCAATTTCTGTACATCTGACGCTAGCCAGAGTACTTCTTTTAACTCTTTTTCCTCAACTCGTGTGGAGGATCAATGAAATTAAGGGGGGTCGGAAGCTCTATCCGTGCCCTTAAAAACACATCCTCGAGTAGGCAAACCGTTCAACGGGTGGAAGTTTTACTTGTACTAGAGACGACTTAGCTTCACCTTGTAGGAGTACCCCCTAAGGATCACTAAAATCTCTTCCAAAACCCGATTTTTGTGCAATGAATGGTGCCGCACACGTTGGGCTTACCCCATGTTTAAGATTTAAAGATTTTGACATGGAGGACCAACTGCATTTCATTTTTCACATGAGCACCCTGTTCGATACACGAGTCCATAACACAATCCAAATAGAGTCACCATTATCACATGAATTCAACAGTCCTAGATCCACTAATTCACAAAATCAACTGGCACAACAGAGACCTAGATAGGAAAAATCTTATACTTCAACATCCTCCATAGTGCCACACTACCTCCCTAGGTTGCACATTACTATAGAGACTGTCAATTCAAAGCATACTGAGCAGGCAATTTGCAAGGAAACACGTACTTGGAGCCCTCCAATTTAAAAATTTGGACAGTGGACTAGGCTCCAAGCACACAAACAGATCTAATGCAGTCAAAAGAGATACATCCCCCCCACACTTAAGATCGACATTGCCCTCAATGGAGAAGAGAAAAGGATAAAGGGGAATGATGTTACCGGTGTGCACGGACTACATGAGACTGGAAGTGGACCAGTCTGAGTGAAGAGGACTGGAGAGGGGACCAGTCAGGGACAAAGCAAAGCTAACAGAAGAACTCAAACACAATCCGTTAGGTCCAATTGTCAGCCCAATAATACATCATCCAAAACAAAAGAAAACAAACCAAAACCAAACCAGTTTACAATCCAACCCAAAACAAAAGGAATAAACGAAAACCGTGGTGGGGTTGCCTCCCCACAAGCGCTTCTTTACCGTTTTTTAGCTGGACGTCCATGGTGGATACTTGGCGGGGTGCAGGAACAGGTGCCTCCAAGAGCGGATCCACATCGCTCTTGAGGTACAGCTTCAGATTGCGGCCATGCACCAGACGGGTGCGACCACCAGCATCGGTCAGCTCGACCTGGCCATCCGACAAGTTGCAGGCGAGTGAGTACTCGGATGGCCAGGGTGGTCGTGGTGCAGGAGGTGGAACCAGCTCATAGTGGTCTCCACCTTTCTTCCGTGCAGGCTTAGCCACCTGCTGCTTCGGCCGCCACTCCTCTTTGATCCTTTTGTTTGGTGGTGAGGTTGAAGGGAGTGGCGGCGCAGGCATGAGAGGGGGATCCTGCAAAACGAGATGCACAGGGGGGTACACGACATGCTCGTGTACCTGGTGAGAAATAGCATGCATAGGTTTGATAGCAGGCATATCACAATGATCAGGGTCAGTCACAAAAAAAGTAGCCTGTTCATTCCCAGCACGCAAGATCAGTTTACCACTATGCACATCAATAAGTGCCTTGGCGGTGGCAAGAAATGGTCTACCCAGAATCAAAGGCACATCACATCCTCATTTATATCCAGAACAAAGAAATCAACATGATACGTGAATGCGCCTATTTTAACCAGCAGATCCTCTATGATACCCCTAGGATGCACAATAGAGCGATCAGCTAACTGAATGCTCATCCTAGCAGGGCTAAGTTCACCTAGGTCTAGCTTTTTAAACAGATTGTATGGCATGACATTTATGCTATCGCCTAGGTCCGCCAAGGACTTCCCTACATGCATGCTGCTAATATTAAGAGGGATAGTGAAACTCCCTGGGTCTTTGCGCTTTTCGGGCAGCTTGTTCTGCAAGATGGCAGAACACTCCTCGCTCAGCATCACTGTCGAAAGATCCCCAAGTTTCTTCTTGTTGCTGAGGAGATCCTTCATGAACTTTGCATACTTGGGCATCTTCGACAATGCTTCCATGAAGGGTATGCTGACATTGAGCTTCTTCAACATTGCCATGAACTTAGCAAACTTAGTCTCCAGCTTATCTTTATGTAGTCGAGTGGGGAAGGGAAGCTGGGGTACATGCTCCTTAACCACTGGTTGTGGCTTGGGAGCAGGGGGCTTCCTTCTCCCCCCCTCACTTCTACATCATCGGCTGGAAATGCTGAAGCAGGTAGTGGCTCTTCCTCCCTAGCCTGGGCAGGTACCGCCGATGTGGACTTGCCACTCCCGGTGGTGATGGCATTCAGCTGCTGGTGCGGCTCCCGTGGATTGGGGATGGTAGTGGCAGGTAGAGTTCCTGGGCCCGGGTATTCATTTGGCGAGCTATGTCACCAACCTGGTTCTATAAATCTAGCAAAATGGCCCCCTGGTTCCTCAGGCCTGCCCCCAGTGAGGCTATGTTCTGGTCCACCCTCGTGAAATTCGCCTGGATGGTAGTCATGAATGTTGCTAGAATGTTTTTCAGCTCCGTCATCTGATTATCTGGAGCCGGAGCTGCTGCTGGCTCGGCATACTGATGCTGAGGCTGTTGCTGAGGAACTGGCCCCTGTCTAGCCTGGAAAGGCTGCCTCTGCTGAAAACCACCTGCTGGTGCTGGGAAACCAGGTGGCTTAGTGGTGTTGCTCTTCCAAGCGAAGTTGGGATGCTGGCGCCACCCCTCATTGTATGTATTGCTGTAGGGGGTCAAAGCACCGAGCATTGGCGATGAAGTCCAACTGCTCTTGGGGAGTAGAATACTCCCGCATAGCCTGGCAGTCTTCCACCAGATGATTTGAGCTCTCATACCACTGACATTGAGCTACTGGAGGTGTAGCCAAACCTCTTCCCGAAATAAGACTGTTGGGTTGCTTCAATGTCTGCACTAACTCGGCCACCTGCTGCTCGAGCCCGGATCTGGCCTCCATGGCGTGCACACCACGATCCCGGGAATTCCTGCCTCTGGTGCTCTGCCCCCAGGAATGATCTCTGGCAGCCAAGGTACTGATCATCTAGTTCAGTTCGGGTGGAGTCTTAGTAAGAATATCCCCTCATGGGCATAGAGATTCAATCACCCTCTGGATGTCCGGAGAGAGAGCACTGTAGAAGTTCCCCACTGTGAATGCATCACTGAAGCCATGACGGGGACACTGCCAGAAATTTCCCATGTACCGCTCCCATGCATCACGAAGTGACTCGTCTGGCTCTTGGCAGAAGTGAGTGATCTCCCGCTGGATCTCTGTGGTCTTCGATGCTGGATAGTACCTATGCACGAA